CAGCCGTCTCCGAGGGACAGGGAATGAGACGCACACGAATGCGCGCACCAACGTACATGGAGCGGCGCTCTTGCAGCAGGGGATAGCATTGCGGACAGACGGTACCGTACGTGTCAGGCAGGTCGACCCTAAAGGCAGGCTCAGTCGGTGACGAGGCGGGATCCAAAAGCAGACGAAATGGTGGATAGTAGTCGTAGAGGGCGGTGGTGGCAGTGGCGGTAGTGGTGCCGTTGCACTCCGCCTCGTTGCCCTCCCCGCCTGCGGATGCTGCGTCATCCTCTTCCTCCTCGGCGCCACTAGAGCTCATTGAAGAGACGGTGCCCTCGGCACTGCAGCGATCGTTATAGGCTCCAGTGTCGCTGTATGCTCTGTGCAGGATGTTCCATTCGGCGGCAGAAAGCGGAAATAGGATGCCTTCGTCAAGCAGCTCCTTCCAGGGCATCAGCAACTGACGGGTGGAAGCAAAGTATAGAGACCGGGTCAAAAAATCAACAGGTTTGAAAAGCCCGCCAGGTGCAAGGCAGAAAAGGCTGTTACCGCATGAAGTCAAGCAGCTCTTCCCAGGGCATCAGCAAGTGAACGTGTAGGATGGGCATATGGGTAAACTAGGTCTTCACAGGTTTGAAAAGTCCGCAAGACACAAGGCAGAAAAGGCTGTCACCGTCTGAGGTCGAATGCAAAAATTCCACAAATGTCCACCCACCCAGTAAGGCTAGGCACTGGAGAGGTTAAGATGCGGAATGACGAACGCAGGAGCCCCCTCGAGGTGTGTTTACTGGCCTAGAGATAGACAACCAGCTGAAAATAGCCGTCCTATTTCTTGAAATTGCTAGGAGAAGGCAACTAGCACTGTGCAAGAAAAGCGACCCTGAATGATCATTTTGACTTATTTGTTGACGTAAAATTAAAAGCACACTGAGGTTAATCGCGTGCACTGTCAAATAGTTTCCAGAACGAGGATAAGTACCTACAGTGCGTGACTGAGCTCATGAAATGTTGGCCGAAATTCTGAAATGTGTTTTCGATTAGGAAGGAACATTTACGTGGGGTTGTAATGTTGATCAGCATGCCGCATAGTCCTCCAGTATTTCGGAATCGCCAGGATGTCGGCTTCTGAATGCAGTTCTTATAGACCTCCTACAGAAACCACACTTGGTAAGAAATGACTACTTAAGCAGCATGCATATTTCACGTCGATTTTTAATGGTTTTATAGATTCAAATATATTTTATAGGAAAAATAAACACAACAATGTGTTTTCTTTTACTCTTTTGGTAGAAAATCACATTGTCTTCACATGTTATACCTCAAGAAATGTTACTTTTTGGTTTTATAAAAGTTTCTAATTGTGATATTTTCAAGACCGTACAATGTCCATACATATAGAATCTCCTATGTCCGTTTTACCAATGCTTCCCTCACGAAATGTACAACATGGTTCGCATTCAATGCAACATTTTATGAGCTCTTTATAATATCTTTTTAAAGACGTAGAGGAATATGCGATTTTCCTCACGTGGAAAGCATACCTCCTGTAAACTGAAATCGCTAAACGCTAATGCAACGGCTGATCAGGCTCGAAATTATTCAGGAATTGGTAAACTTTTCAAAACCCGAATATACACTTTTGGGTATAAAGTGTGAAGATAACGTGACTTTCTACCAAACGAGTAAAAGAAAGCATATTTTGTGCACGTTTTCTGTAAAATATATTTGAATTTATGAGGCCACCGAAAGTAAACGTGAAGAATGCATGCTGCCCAAGCAGTCATTTTTTGCCGAGTGTGGTTTCTGCAGGGAGTCGATAAGAAATGCATTCAGAAGTCGACATCCTGGCAAGTCCGAAATCCTATGGGATTATACTGCTTGATAATTAATATTACAAC